CACCAGGGCACAAACCAGCCCAAGAGCAGCTGCACCTGCTGGAAGGGTTGTCAGGACGAGACACACCTGCTCCCCTGACGGCCCCACCCAGGGCTCAAAATATTCCCCACCTGTTTTAACCCAGCTTCACAGCACTGAAACAAAAGTTCCACCTCAACACTGTCCACTTCAGCTCACCTTACACGAAGCAGCCAGGAGGAGTTTCTGCTTCCAGAAGGGATTTCCGGACCTCACCCCCTTGACCAGCCACTGGGACTGTTCCCTTGCACACACACAGAGCACAGGAGGAGCTGGAACCCTGCTCACACATTGCACCCCAAAACTGCCACCCCTGCAGGTGACCAGCCCTCTTCTCGTGCTCCCACTGTGCCATGGGCATTCAGCACTGCCCTTACCGCAGCAGTTACTGTAAAATCACCCCAAGACCTGCCCCCACAACAGCAGGACCTCGTGGTTTCAAGTCTTGCTCCAAGATACAGTGACACCTGTGAGCTGCCAGCACCCCAGACTAGTTCTTCACCTAAACTTGATTTTTCCCCTTCCCAGACTGCCCCACGCCAACACAGGTTTGCTGAGGTGACACGAGAGGATTGATGGTGCCATGAATAAGATCACATCACGCAGTCATCTAGGTTGAAAAACCCTCCCAGACCATCAACCTGTGCCTGATTCCCACCTTGTCCCCCAATCCAGAGCACTGAGTGCCATGGTCAGGCCTTCCTTGGGCACCTCCAGGGCTGGGGACTCCACCATGTCCCTGGGAAGCCCCTTCCCATGCCTGACCACCCTTTCCATGAAGGATTCCTCCTGAAATCACACTTCTCATTTATAAGCAGAGACCACAGCTGCCCTTCACACCCTGTTATCAGTCCCAGGACACCTCCTCCACCCACCTCTCCTTACCCACAGCTACAGCTCCAACAACCATCACCAAAGAGAGACACCAACTGCTCACCCCTTCCGTGCTCTTCACTAGGGCCTCTTCCACCCTCCACTGATGGGGTTCAGGATTAGCAAATCTTATAAAGATATACGATTTCCCACTGTAAAGCTCCACCCACGATTGCAAAGGCAAACCAAAGTTACTCTTGCTGCTTGTTTACTTCCTAATTTATGAAGCCCTGTAAGAGGAAACTCTATTTTCAAGACTTAATGCTGCAAAACAGATGGGGTAAAAAAAATCTCATCCAAGCGAACACTTTAATCTCAGGGGCAAATAAGGCATGTTAAGAGAGAAAAAACCCTGTTATTGACAAACAAGAGATTAAAGGAAACATTACAAATAATCAGCTCAGCATCAGCTTACTCGACAGCTAGTTTTGAAACACACTGGAACTATGGTTTTACTTCCACAGTGACTCCTTTCAGTGGTTTAAACACACTGAACTTGACACCTTCGCACCAGTTCAAGACAATTGGTATCCAACGTGGTCAACTTTCACATTTGTTTCATCAAGTTCTTACACCAGAATTTATGGCCTGATTGATGCCACCCCCTTTCTCCATTCGCTGAACAACCAGTGCTGGGCAACCAAAGCTCTGCTACAGCCATGACACAGTGAACCCCGTTTTTGTTTCAGGCACTGATCTTACACTGGCAAAACCACCGGGCATTTAGAACCTGGAACATTTGCTGTGCGAGGAAATTGGCCTCAATTAAGGTCCAGAAAACAAACAAACAGAAAACCCAGTGCCCGGTAGCCCATTAACTTGGCCACAGAGAAACCACAGAGAGAAAGGAAGGGCCAGTGGGTTTATATCACATCCCATCACAGAGCTGAGCCCTGCAAGGAGAGCAGCTCCACTGAGGGCCTCGGGTCTGGGCTCAGAGTCAGCCAGGCCTTGGCTCAACAAGTCTGGAAGTCCTGGGATAGCAGGCAAACTTCCGAGCGCAGGAAAAGAACCTCCAAGGCAAACAACAAAACGCTCATTGACAACACAAAACACACGCACAGGTACCGACCCTCGTCAATACATAAAACGAAGGGCTCCCTCACACGCTACTCCACACGCGACTGCAGCCACTAAATCTTCATCAGGCAAAGATCTGGATTGTATTAGCCACGTTTTCCCTTCCTGATTTGCGAGCAGCAGGATCGCAGCCCCATCCATCTGTGCCGAGCGGGCACAGAACTGCTGCACGGCACAAATCCGAGCCAAACCTTTCACCTGTTGGAGTGTTTTCCTACAAACTCCGAGCCAGCCTGGCCCCACGCGGGGCAGGGATGGAGGGGCTGACCGAGCCGAGCCGTGCCCGCTCCCCCGAGAGCCCCCGGACCCCGCACAGCCCCGGGGCAGCTCCGGCCCCGGCACAACCCGCAGCACCGACCGGGCGGAGCTGCCAGCACCAAAGCCGCTCGGGATTATGGCACATCCCACGTCTCAGGATGGGGAATGCACATGTGCCCCCACCCCTTCCCCCGCTCCAGTCCAGTTAGTGTAGTCCAGGAAACAGCCAAATATTTGGGCTGTCGGGCCAGTCCCCGGGACCCTCCGAAACATCCACCCACCGCCGCCCGGCTTTTGACCATTTAAGAGGAAGATCGCCCGTAGCCAAGTCCCCATCGGCGCTCGCCAGTGTTTACATAACGCGGAACATCCCTCGCGGCTGAGCCCCGGGTACGGGGGGAAAAACACAGGGAAAGTTGGAGCGGACACGGGGCTGCACCGCCGAGCCCCCGGTGGTCCCGGGAGAGGGACCCCGGCCCGCCACCTCCCGGGACCCGCCGGGAGGACAGAGGGTCCCTGCCGCGTCCTGCCAGGGCTCCGGCGGCCGGGCATCCCCGCCGAGCACCGGCTGCATCCCGCGGGCATCCCCGCCCAGCACTGGCTGCATCCCCCGGGCTGCGACTCGGGGCTCTCCCAGCGGTCACTCGCCGCCCCCCTCCCTTCTCTCCCGGCCGTACCTGGCTGCGGAGGCGGCGGGGCGGGCTATGTGCGGCTGGACAACCCCATCCCGGTCCGGCTCCCGAGGCTGCGCCCGCACCGCCTCAGCCGCGCGTCCACATGGTCACTGCACCCTGCGCCCCGCGCCGCGCCTTAAGTACCTCGCGGGGCACGCCGGGAAACCGAGTCCCACCGCCGCCGCGCCAACGACGGCGGCACCCCCCGGGACTACAACTCCCAGCGTGCCCCGCGCCGCACCCCGGGAGGAGGGAGCGGAGCTCCCAGTCCGTGTGCTCGGGGATGGGGATGGATATGGATGGATGGGTGGGTGGAACGGGATGGATCCCCCCGGTTGGGGTCGGGGGGCTGCGCACAGAGCCCAGAGTGGGCGGTGCGAGGCGCTGCCTACGCCGGGGAGTCCCGGGGTGCGGCGGTGCGGGGGTACCGGGCACAGGGGCTGCGGGAAAACCGGCCGGGGAGAGCAAACGCTGAGTAAATCTGGTGTCGGCACCGCTCGGGCAGCGCAGGATAGCGGGGAGGTGACACCTAAACCGTAAATGTGAAGTCTTGAGGTTGTAGCTGCTGGCACAGGTGGTGTCACCTCTGCGGGGGCTCAGGGGGGAGCCCTCGGTGAGCAGGGCCGGGGTGGGGGAACACGGCTGTGCTGAGAGAAACAGCTCAGAGCTCGGAGAGAGTTTCACCGGGTCTCCTCTGCATTAGAACGGTGTCACAGGTTGTCACTGTCTGTGTGTGATATCACAACTTCAGCCAGGATGACCAGCAGTGATTAAAATGATAGTAATATTCCATTATTTACTGCATTAAGCAATACTTCGCCCTTAAACGTCAGCCACAGTTATTTTCCACAATCACACCCTGTTTTCCATGCCCTCTGCGGGGTGCACGTGGCTGGCTGGCAGCACCAAGAGCCATCCAGGGATGGGTGCAACGTTTGCCTGTGAAACAACTGTATCACCTTTACTGGCAGCGGGTGAAGGAAACACTTCCCTCTGCTTCATTTCCACCCACACCCACGTGCTGTGTGGATAACAGGGAATGCTGTGTAACTCCTGCCAGGCTCCTTGCTTGTTGCTCTCCACAGCAGTGGGATGATGCTGGAGAATGGGAACAAGCCTGGATCAGCCAGTGGCTCAGCTCAGCACACCCTCCCACCACGGCACTGGTTGTCCATTAAAAACGGCTCCAGAGGAGCTGGAATTGTGGCTCAGGAGCAAGGACGTGCGGGAGCAGAAGGCCGTGACTCAGGAGCTGAAGTGAAGGTCACTGCACGGTTTTATGGTTCTCCTCCATGGCTGCAATACTCCAAGCCATTACTCATCAGGAATTTGGCAGAGTAGAGGTGCCTAATATCATTAGATAATCCTAATGAATTCTTGTGTAAGCAAATCTAATCTCTGGCTGGTTGAGCGGGCGGAGGCCGTGAGTGGCTGCAGCCAGGGCAGGCAGTGATAACAGGACTGTCACCAGAGCCAGGGCAGAGCTGTGCCTGCTGCACACCTGGAGCAGCTCTGCAGGCAGCGTGCCTGGAAACAGCTCCAGAGCTGAGGGAGAAATCCAAGCAGCAGCAGTGTGGGAGAGCTGGAACAGCCTGCCCAGGGAGGGCATGGAGCCTCCTGCTCCAGAGACATTTCTCCTCCAAAGACCAAAGGCCACATTTTCTCTCACGGACCACGTTGGCTTCTGGGTCTGAGTTCTTCAAAGACTGAGGAATTCATAGAATCACAGAATCCTGGAATGGTTTGGGTTGGAAGGGACCTTAAAGCCCATCCAGTCCCACCCCTGCCGTGGGCAGGGACACCTTCCACCAGCCCAGGTTGCTCCAAGCCCTGTCCAACCTGGCCTTGGACACTTCCAGGGATCCAGGGGCAGCCACAGCTTCTCTGGGCAACCTGTGCCAGGGCCTCTCACCCTCCTAGGCAAGAATTCCTTCCATAAATCCAATCCAAACCTCCTCTGTCAGTTTGAATCCATGCCTTGTCCTGTCACTACATGCTCTTGCTACTTGGTAGGTATCACTTCAGCCTGTAGAGCTGTAATGTGTGTTTGACCCAAAACCAAATGTGATTTCAGCCACAGGAAAACACCTTGCAAGAGATTTTTATTTTTTGCTATTGAAGAACTTTGCTCTCTTTCTCCTTTTCAAACCTTATTCTGCTCCATTCCTACCTTATTTTTAGCAATTATGGCAATTAAATGTTGATGAAAGACATTAAGATGAGATTTGAAGACTTTTATTTGCTTTTTATTTGTATTATCTTGCTTGATTCTGCCAGATTTTCAACTAACCATTGACTTTTTTGGACTGTTTTGGATGGAAAGGACTCCAGCCTTCAGGGTGGGTTTGCACAGGTTTTGTTTCTATTCTTGGTTCAGTTGCACAATGAACAGCCCTGGAAGAAAATGAGAGCAGAAGATATTCCAGGACTCTGAGGATCAAACTGTCCCATCCTGCTTGTGGTTGGTCTTCACGATGAGGGAGAGGATCACAAAAGCTTCCTGTCTTTAGTGAGATCCGTGCCAGCCCTGGGAGATGAAAAGCACCCCTGAGTAATGCTGGGCAACACCTCAGCTCGCAGAGAAGGGCTGGAAATTCTCTCATTTCCATCATATTTTAATAACAGTGAAATCAGAAGCGTGGTGCACTCGGTGTGAGGAAAGAGAATAATTAAAGCCTGTGTGGAAGGGATGAGCTGCCTGAGCACAGACATGATCAATAAATGATCAGCAAAAGTTCTCCAATGTCCTCAGGATCACAAACTGGAAGCTGGATGTTGTTCAGAGGCAAACTGTAATTATTTCATCCCACCTCCAGAGAGAATAAGGAATATAAACCCTCCTGATGGGGGCACACAAATGATGCACAAAAGAACTCTGGGAAAACGAGCCATGAGAACAACAGAGCTGTCCCAGCTCACTGGGAATCAGCTGATTTTCCAGAATTCCATCATTACACAGCCAGAATCCCATGGCTTTATTAAAGGAGAAGTGATCCTGGCAGACTGCTTCCAGTTCTGGAAGTCTGTAGAACTGGGATTCCTACATTTTGCTGCCATTCCAGTAAATCGTGTTGGAAATTTGGAAGAAAATAAGTTAGATTTAATTTTACTTTTCAGAGAGATTCTTTCATTAACACGTGGGGCAAAGATCCCCCTGTCAGCGTAAAAGGAATATTTATATTTTCTGCCCCCGAAAGCAGCAAGGGCTGGGTTTATAATTGAGTTTGCATCCATTTGTTTTCCTGCACTCTGATGCTTCTCTAAAGCACGTCACGGGGCAAAAGGGACTAATGATGGATAATTGGAATCCATCCCTGTGAGGCCTCCCAGCACTGCCATTTTACACACAGTAAAATTTCATAGAGCAAACACAGCTGAGTGGAGTTCCTTTGAGTACTAACACAAAACAAGCAATAAAACCCCTCCTTCGCTCTGGTCATGCTTCTTTTTGCCGCCTGTGTACGCAAAAAATATATCGAATATTTCAAATTAATATCCCACAGGATGAGTCAAGATTTCTCTCAGCATAGTGAAGGAGGATCCAGAGGATCCATTGTGTTGAGTCCTGAAGCTCCCACAGAAAGTAAATATTTACATGACAGAGCAGCAAAATCCTCAACAACTACACTGGGAAAAATGTAGGAAAACAAGGGAATTACCAGGTCCCTGAGGTAGCAGATATTGAAGAGGCATTTCCATCCCTGACCTCTTGGCTCACACACTATCACTCACCTGGGTACAAACTGCTTCTCAGTGACCTGCACTGAAAACTCCTGTAAAAAAAAACAACCTAAAAAACCACCCCAAATCTGCATTAACAGCATTTGATTTCGCTTGGAAAGAAAAGCAGATTTCTCTTGTTCCCCCTCCAGTGCTATTTCTCCCCTCCATGGTGATGTTTTTGCCACAAAACTGGCTGTGTCATCCTTGGCAAAACACATTTTTAGGTGTGAAAAAATCGAAATCCCAGAGTGGTTTGGGTTGGAAGGGACCTCAAAGCTCACCTCATTCCATGGGCAGGGACACCTTCCACTATCCCGGGTTGTTCCAAGCTCCATCCAACCCGGCCTTGGGCATTTCCTCTCTTCTACTTAAAGATATCTACGTGGTTTAAACTTGCCCTTATTTTAAATACTCCTGAATAACATCATCAGTCTAAGGTGGAGCAGGTGACACAGGGATGTCTCCAGGTGGGGTTGGAATGTCTCCGGAGCAGGAGACTCCACACCTGCCCCCCTGGTTCCAGGGCTTTGCCACCTCCATGGAGAAAAGTTCCTCCTTGTGTTGAGGTGGAACTTGTTGTGTTTTAGTTCCTGGCCATTGCTCCTCATCCTGTCACTGGGCACCACTGAAAAGAGTCTGGAGCCATAAACTTGGCATCCTTCGGAGTTATTTCTATGGATTGGTGAGATCCCCTTTCAGGTGACATATTTGTGTGGATATTTGAGATATTTCTATGGATTGGTGAGATCCCCTCTCAGGTGACATATTTGTGTGGATATTTGAGATACTTACGTGGGTTGATGAGATGTTTGTATGGACTGATGAGCTCCCCCCCTCAGATGAGATGTTTGTACCGATATTCGAGATCTCTGTGTGGATCGATGAGATCCCCTCTGAGATTAGATATTTGCAGGGATATTTGAGATATTCCTGCGGATGGGTGAGATCCCCTTTCAGTTTTCTCACCCTAAACAGCCTCCCCTCCTCAGAGATGCTCCGTGTCCCGCGGTGAGGGGAGAGGAGGGGCCATGGCGGGCCCCCCCCCCCGTCCCGCCCCCTCAGGGCGCGGCGCGGCCCCTTTAAGACGCGAGCGGTCACATGAGGGCGTGCGGCACGTGATCCCGGCGCCAACATGGCGGCGCCCAGCGGGGCCGCGCGCGGGGTGTTCCTGCTGCTGGGAATGTGGATGGGAACGGGAACGGCGGGAACAGCGGGGGCTGCCGAGGCCGGGAGCTGCGGGTGCGGCGCCGGCCGGGCCGCCGGAGACGGGCGAGAGCTGGCGGCGCGGCGCTACTCGGCGGCGGCTGCAGCTGCAGGCGGCGGGCGGAGCGGTGGACACGGGCCGGTGAGCGGGGGCTCCACCGGGGGTCGGAAGGGTCCCCGCGGTCTCAGGCGGGGTCCCGGCGCCCTGAGGGGTCGGTCCTGTGGGCAGGGCGCTCGGGGATAACGGAGCAGCCAGAGAACTGCTGTGGGGAAACAGCCGGTTCGCGGCTCGCACGAGAAACTGAGCTTGGGGCAGGTGCTTGTGCTGTTCCCAGCTCGCTTTTCCCTCCCAGAGAGCTCCGGCGGCTCCCGCACTCCTGGGGTGCCGCTGAGGATGGGGGCTCTGGGCAGCGGTGCCTGTGCCCTGCCCGGGGTCCCACGGCTCCTCCCTGGGTTAAACTGGGCCGTGACAGTGCCAGTCCGGCTGTTCCTCTCGTCCCTCTGTTTTGGCAGGGTCGGGTAACACCGGGAACAGCAGTTCCAGTGCTGCCCTGCCTGGGGCTATGTGTTCCTTTCAGGTTCTCCCCAAGTGAGTCTCTTTAAATGCTTATTCCTTCTCTTGCTGCTTTTCCGTGAGACCCACCCAGAGCTGAATGTGGCCCTTGCTGAGGGCAGCGTGTGAAGGTGCTGAAGTAATGCCTGGTGTGAAAGGACACTGAGACCAAATGCCTCTCTGGATGTTACTAGAAATTAAATTATAAAAAATCAGATTGCTGTTTCTTCTTATGGAGGATGCCAGTAACCTTTGGCATACAAAATTCTATCCCAGCAGATTTGGGTCTTTTGCTTGGAAAAAGAATGGGATGGTTTGGAAACAGTGAGAATGTGAGGGGCTGCTGCTGTGATTGCCTCTCTGTAACACTGGGAAGCTGCATCAGCCAAGGGAAAGGAGGCACAGTGGGAACTGTGACCTGGTTATTGCAGGCTGCACTTCAGAAATTGGGGAGTTCTTGAAGAGTATGAGTTAAATAATCCTGACTGTGCTTGGGGTCCATGTCACTGGTACCCATTTCGTGTAACAAACCTGAGCAGGTCAGTGTGTAGGATGAAAAAATAATTTGATTTCTTGCAGCTGGCAGCTGCAGCAGTAGGCAATTAAAGCTAATTGCTGCTGGTTTAAGTTATGCACAGACCATACCTTGATGATGTTCAGCTGGAAAACCTCTTTCCTGGTAGGGAAGTGAGGGGAGAATTGGGCTCTGCCTCACCCACAAGTGGGATTAATAATTCCCACTGGGTTTTAGAACTGGGAGCCAGCAAGAGTTAATTTTTTTGCACGTGGGTTTAGACCTGAGCTCTGAACCTGAAGGTTGCTTCAGGGAGTTTTGGCTGCAGTGGGGTTGAAGAGAGGTTGGAAGGAAGGAAGTGGTGCAACTTTGCACCACGTTGTCATTTGCTGAGTCCTACAAAATGTCAGCAAATTTACCCTAAAGCCCCGTTATGGATTCAGTTACAGACAATCGTTAAGGGCTCAGATTCTTCTTAGGGGAGAAAGTTCTGAGGCTGCAGCAGGAGGAGAGATCTGTAGTGGAGAAGAAACAATGAAATTGGGGGTGTAAGGTCATGTCAGATCCTGCAGCTGCCCTGAAGAACAGGGAGAGGTGCTGGGTAGGATGTAATGAGCTTATTTACTGCTCCTATTTCAGTAAATGAGCTTTTTTACTGCTCTTATTTCAGTAAATGAGTTTATTTACTGCTCCTTTGTGCACTGGTAGTAGTGTAACTGCAGGAACAACAGCAAACTGCAACATAAAAACCAGTGAACATGTTTCTCCTCGTGGGAGCACTGGCACTGCCCAGACTTCGTGTACAAAGAGCTGCAAATGGGGGGTTGTTCTCAATTCAAGTTCCACTTGCTTCTTGCCCCAAACAGGGGCTGGTCAAGGAGCTGTTTTGTTGTGCTGTTTGTCAGTGAAACTCTGCTCAGGACAAAAATACCTCGCAGAGAGGAGGAGGAGGGGCAGCAAGACCAGCCTGAGGCTTCTCAGTCTTTGAATTCTCGCCCTCTTGGGGGTGTTTGCCCTGCAGATGGTGGTGATTCCAGGAGGGGTGTTCACCATGGGCACCCAGGAGCCGGCAATCCCGCAGGACGGGGAGGGCCCCGCCAGGAGAGTCCACCTGAAGAGCTTCTACATGGACCAGTACGAGGTCAGCAACGAGCAGTTCCAGAGGTTTGTGAACTCCACTGGCCACGTCACTGAGGTGAGGCTCGGGGGGCTCCTGCCACCAGCCTGCTTTGTGCTCAGAAAATCCTCATGGAAAAAAAAAAATCGAGGTTTTCCTTTGAAGGATGTCACAATAATGCTTGGGATTTGTGTACTCAAACATTCCTGGTGTAAGTAGTGGAGACAAGGACTTTCCTTGCCTTGCTGCCCTGGTGAAAGGGCATCAGGTCTATGTTGTTATCTTTTATAAGTGCCTTGACTCCTGAATCCGTGCCTTTCCTGCAGCCTGGCTGATGCCAACAGGTCTCTGCAGGTTTTTTTAGGTTGGTTTCATTGTTGTTTTTTTTTTTTGACCTCTGAGTCCTAGGGCTGTTTGTACCAGTACAACTGGGTTAGATTTTCCTCATTTTAGAGGGACAGGGAGGAGGGATTTTGAGATTTTCCTCATTTTAGAGGGACAGGGAGGAGGGATTTAACGAATTGTGATGGCCAAGGACCCTGCAGGGTGGTTCAGTGAAAGAGCGTCAGGTGATTGTTGTTATCTTTTATAAGTGCCTTGACACCTGAATCCATGCCTTTCCTCCAGCCTGGTGATGCTAACAGGTCTCTGCAGGTTTTTTTGGGTTGGTTTGATTGGTTTTTTTTTTTTGACCTCTGAGTCCTAGGGCTATTTGTACCAGTACAACTGGGTTAGATTTTCCTCATTTTAGAGGGACAGGGAGGAGGGATTTTGAGATTTTCCTCATTTTAGAGGGACAGGGAGGAGGGATTTAACAAACTGATGGCCAAGGACCCTGCAGGGTGGTTCAGTGCAGCTGAGAGCAGAGAGCCACGTGCCTGAGGAGGAGAGAACAGCAAGTGTAATAACAGTTTTGTGCATGTTCCTGGGAACAATGGACTGGGAATATGTTAAGGTTCTTCCCAGAAAGAAGCCACCTGTGCCTGGAGCTCTGCTCCCTCCTGACAGTGACTGTTCCTACGCAACCTGGAGCAAACCCTGACAGCCTTTTTAGGCAAATAAAGCCTCGCTAATGATCAGGTCTCAGAGGAGGCACTTTGTGACTTCACTTGATAAACTGGTTCTCATTTGCAAGGCAGGATCCTTCTGGTTGGATGAAGGGCTTCTTTTGTCTCTATTTCTGTTTCTTAGCTCGATTATTATGAAAAAAAGGTTGCTTAACTCTTTGGAACAGGGTTTGCTTTTTGCAGACTGGGATGAGCACGTGGGGGGTGGTGTTTAAATGTGCAATCACAGAATATCCTGAGCTGGAAGGACCCACCAAGATCATCAAAGTCCAACTCCTGGCCCTGCACAGGACACCCCAACAATCCCACCCTGTCCCTGAGAGTGTTGTCCAAGCACTCCTTGAGCCCTGGCAGGTAGAACCGAATAGGTAAAGATATTATGGTCATGTGCTAACATTTCTTGTAATTTGGGTGATCTTCTTTCAAACTGTGCTTCTGGGTGTGCAGAATCAGCTCACGAGGATCATTCTCATTCTTTAAATACCTCAAATAAGATGAAGAAATTGAGAAGGGTAAATCTGTTCAATTCTGGTAACGTGTTTTACTTGCCAGGTGTATCAATTCACTCAGAGTTTTTTGGTATCATGTACTGTGATTCACTTAAATTATTGGTGTTTTTCATTCTCTTGGCTTTATATGATGCTGGGTATAATGATTGAGTTACTTTTAACTCTTCTGTTGCTGTAGCAGCACTTTAAAATGTTGATGAAGAAGCAGTAAGTGACAAGGCTTGTCTTTTATTGGGATTCCCAATGGAAAAATAAGAGAAATGAAATATGAATTGAATGTTAGATTATTGACTGTAGCATTTGAAAGCAGTTGGGACAATTGGAACTTCATTTTTAATTAACAGAAGGAAATACATGGGCAGAAGCTCTGTGAGCTGCCATCTGCCCAGTGGCTGCTGAGCAACATCATCCAGGGCTAAAATCCCTTCTCTCCTGTTCCAAAAGAGCTTCCTTGAAAGAGAACTCAAAATCACTATTAGAATGTCCTTGTTCTTGATAAAACAGAGCTGCAAATGTGAGTGGGGTTTTAAAAATAACCTTCTTTTGATGACATAATGGCTGAGTCCTTTGTTCTTTCCACAGGCAGAGAAATTTGGAGACTCCTTTGTGTTTGAGGGAATGCTGAGTGAAGCAGTGAAGGCTGACATCCACCAGGCAGTGAGTAACACAGCAGGGGAGACTTCCTGAGCCATCCCTGGGCTGGGTGTGTTAGGAATTACCCAGTGATGTGTGAATTGTGTGGTGTCCCCAAAGCCAGGGGCAGAAAGGGGGTTTTGGAGGGTGTTTGGCCTGGAATCACAGACTGAAGTGGGGAGGAGTTACAGTCACTTGGCCTTGTTGAACCTCATCCCGTTGGAATCAGCCCATGGATTCAACCTGTCCAGGTCCCTCTGCAGAGCCCTCCTGCCTTCCAGCTGATGACACTCCCCCCCAGCTTGGGGTCATCTGCAAATATTAAAAAAAAAAATCCAAAGGAACTTTATTTCCTTTTTGTAGGATGTGCAAAATAAGTCCTTCAGCTTCTGGCT